GGCCCTGTTTTAGGCTGAAAGGACATAGGGCCTGCAGGCCCTCGTTTTTCAGTCTTTCAGGCTGAAACGACACGGGGCCTGTAAGCCCTTGTTTCCAGGCTTTTAGGCTGAGACTGCGGGACAGGCCCTGCAGGCCCGTGTGGCTGCGCAGTATTCCACACCAGGCACTGTTCTGAGCTGTTCCGGGGTCTCTGTTTTTCCTTCGGCCATGTAACCATACGTTCACTGGGAGGGCATTGTAAGCGATCAACCATTGCAAGCTTCTGATTTTGACTGGCCAAATAGACTTCTGTTTTCCCCCGGGGAGCTCAGCAATTGGTTCCATTCTCTGTCCGCAATTTGGACCAACGTTCTTTGATTTCTGGCTCCGGCTCCGGATCCTCTGTTTTCAGAAGCATCATGTACCCCATTTTAACCATGTACTGTGTTATCTGAATGGGAGTCTTGCAGAATCTGTTGCTTCCTGAGAGCTGAACGCTGTATCAACTTGGAATATTGTTTTCAGCCAGATTCCCAATACTCTTATTTTTTGGAGTGTGTAAGTACTGAGAGTTATCTCTTGTGGGTCGATATTGTGAATCGAAAGCGAGTTGGGGTTGATACAGTCTATGGGGAAGGAAGTGAAGATTCCTAAGAGGTCTGAGCCCGAGGATCTGCAGTAAAACTGGTATGCTTTCTCAGGGACGGACTCCTGAATCAGCACTCCCCATTCTCCCGATTTCGACAAAAAAGTCGTCTTTTAAAAGATCTTTCCATCCGTCCGGGATGCTGTTCATGATCGCTGTTAGATTTTCGTTCCGATTGTGGCACCCTTTTAAAGGATGTCTCAGTTGTTCCTCATCAATCCATTCGTTCTTCACTTCATCCCAGATGTGGTCACCGTCCATACTCCGTGTCCGATCCATAATAGCCTGCGTTGGCCGTTTGCTAGAGACATAGGTAAGTCCACTGCATCTCTCACACATTGGTTTCCGGATAGGGGCTGACGAAGAACTTCTTCTTTGGATTTGGGCCTTTTCAGTTTATTGGCCACAATTCCTCTCCAAATTCTGATCAGGGCTGTCCAGTAAGGTGTTGGGGGTTGGACTTCAATCTGCTGTGAGTCTTCGGGGTCCAGTCTTTGTTCATCACCCAGAACAGGCCTGGGTTTGAACTGGGGCAAAGGTTCTGATACTGTCTAGGTGTAACAAGGCGGAGACAGGGCAGTGAGGCTGGGAGAGGGAGGGTGAGTGAAAGCACACACACAGGCTCACTCAACTCGACACGAATCGACGGACGCAGACACAAAGTGGCAAAGTCGCAAAGTCACAGTCTTGGATTCCTGAACACAATGTCGAAGCATAGTCACACTGAACACAAGCAATGAGGCTGAAAACTGGTTGCCCGTACTGGGCTTGAGTCCGGTCTCAAGTACCGGACTCGAGTTCAGTCCTGAGGGAAGAAGTGCAAATTGCCTCAGGGCTGAACTTGAAAATCGAAAGTCTGAGTCTGGGCTCCAGAATGCCGGATGGCGCCAAGTATCGAAATCCGAAAGTGCCAAAAGAAGAATTTGAGAACGGGCGCCAACTGCAGAGGGCGCCAACAGTCAGGGGCCTGAGAACAGAGACCCAAACATGAAATAGCAGCCTGGCGGGTGGTAACCCACGGACCAGGGTCGAGCCCTGGCTGAGTCCGTAACATTATCCCCTCCCTCTGAAAGGCAACGTCCCGGCTTCCAAAGACCTGATGAACAACCGTGAAGGACGGCACGGGGCCGATCACTGGTCAGAAAAGGAAAAGGGGAGTAATGCAAGTAACAGGGTAATCTTAGCGATGTTCTACAAGTGTGGAAGTATCGATGTTCAGGTAACAGGGTAGTTGAGGTGCTACAAGGTTGAATTAACAGGTAACAGGGCAATACTATTGATGTTCTACGGGGATGAGGGAATCAATGCTCAAGTAACAGGGTAATCCTATCGAGGTTCTACAAGGGTGAGGGTAGCAATGTTCAAGTAACATGGTGATCCTATTGAGGTTCTACAAGTAACATGGCAGTCCTATTGATGTTCCTCAAGGTTATAGGCTGTCAGGTTTGAGAAAAATCAAAATAAAAATACTTTGTTCAATGTTCAATGGCTGTTGTGGAATCTGGGGAAAACAAAGTCTCAGGTCTGTAACAAGTTGTCAAAATGCGAAAAATGTCTTGAGGAAGGTCTTCGGTGGTCTTGATCAGATCCAGGATAGGTGAGAGAACCGGTCTTCAGCGGCTGCAACAGGTAGTTGTCAAATGTCCAAGCTGCGGGAAAGCGAAGTAGGAGTACAAGTGTGCAAAGTCCAAGTGCTGGAATGCGTCCGGTTCATGAACTGCAAGGAGGTCTGATCCGATAGCAAGGAAATTGCAGACTGATGCAAAGGTCTAGACCACATGTCGCTGCTCGAGTAAGTCCGCGAGTCCAGATGACGGGCAAGGAAACAGCATGGTGGCCAAACCAGCTGCATTATCTTCATGATCACAAGGCAGCAGGCCATCGTCCTCGTGCGCTTGCCATTAGATCCTTTATCGCCGGCTTCATGCAGGTCCACAACCATTGGTCAAGAGAGACAGAGAGTGTGGTAGAGGACAGATGGGAAGGACTAGGTTGAGGCAAGGGCGGATCAGACAGTGAGAGATCAAGATCACAGGTAGGGGTTAGTCTGGGTTCAGGGGTGGTGTGTGTAGAGCAGGTATGTACAGGATGAGGCATAGGCAAGTAGATAGCTATGAGACAGGGTGAGTACGATCATAGGCACAGACGAGTAACAAGGTGTTCTTTAGATTTGCAAGGGGTTCCCATGTTGATTCTTCATTTGGGTATCCTGTCCATTTTACTTTGTATTCTGTGATATGCTCGTTGTGGTTGGATACTTGAGATGTTCTACGGCCGATGATTGACTCTCCACAGAGAATTCAGGACCGGTGGGAAGCATGATAGGTGCTGGATGAGGATGAGGGTGATCAGAGAACTGAGGAGGTGATTCGTGGAATTCTTTCAAGTATTCTACGTGGAAGACAGGATGGGCATGGTTCATGTCAGGAGGGAGTTGGAGCTTGTAATTTACAGCAGATGTTTTTTCAATGATGGGGAATGGACCGAGCCACTGGTTCCAGAGTTTCTTGGACAAGCCTTGTTCGGGATCAAACCGTTTGACGGAGAGCCAGACTTTGTCCCCAACATGGAAAGTGACGTCACGACGATGTTTGTTCATTTGCTTGACTTGTTGTTCCTCGGTTCGTTGAATAGATTCGGTGGCTTCTGTTAGGAGGCGGGTCATTGTGGCAACCCATTCATTGAGAGAGGGACAAGGAGTAGATGGGTTGAGCTGCGACGGGAGCAAGAAGTCAGAGGGCAAGCAAGGATGGTAGCCAAGGTCGAGGTAGAAAGGAGACATGCCATTGGAGGGGCAGACAACGTTGTTGTAGGCGATCTCAGCAGTGGAGAGGAGTCGTTCCCAGTCGTGCTGATGGGGATGACGATACTTCCGGAGGATGTGCTGGAGAGTATCGTTCATCTTCTCTGTCTGGCCATCAGTCTGGGGGTGAAAGGTGGTGCTGTACTTGAGGGTGGTCCCGTATTCCTTGAAGACATTTCTCCAAAATTGTGAGAGGAATGGGGAGTCGCGATCGCTGATGAGGTGTTCTGGGAGACCATGATGACCGGTGACGTGGTCAAAGAAGAGTTTGGCGACGTCCTTGGCTTGGCAGATGGTGGTGCAAGGGATGAAATGGGCACGCTTGGTAAGGCGGCAGAAAACGACATAGATGCAATCGTGACCGTGGTCGGTCGTGTGGAGACCACATTACGAAGTCCATGGAGACAGATTGTCAACGGTGGGTGGGTATGGGGTGAGACTGGAGTTTGCCAGCCTTTGCTCGGTTGGAGGGATTGGCGGTTTGGCAAGTACGACAAGAACGGATATAGGCTTTGACGTCGGCAAGGAGCGAGGGCCAGTAGAGGTAACGGGAGATATTGTCAAAGGTTTTCTGGAAATCGAGGTGTCCAATAGTCTTGGCGTTGTGGTGTTCATCCAAGAACTGGGTACGGAGACCACGGACGGAAGGGATGCAAAGGCCGTGAGTTCCTTTGGTGTCGATGTAGAGGAGATGGTCGATGAGGGAGTAGTCATGGACAATGTTAAGGTTGAGGAGTTTGGTGTAGGTAGGGGCGAAGTCGGGGCAGGAGGTGTAGCCATGGATGAAGCGATGTTGGAAAGATTCGGGAATGTTGACATGCGTCATGGCAGCAAAGACTTTCTCAGGGGGCTTATGATCGGGTCGGCGAGGGAGGGCATTGGCAACACGATTGGTCTTGCCGGGAGTATGGCAAATGGTGAAGGTAAATTGGGCGAGAAAGTCCAGCCAACGGGCCTGACGAGGGGTGATATACTTTCTGGTGAGGATAGTGGAGACGACGGTGTTGTCGTTGCGAATGGTAAAGTACTGGCCATCGAGGTAAGGGCGCCAAACTTTAAGGGCATAAATGACGTCGAGGAGCTCCTTCTAATTGGAGGGATAGTTCGTCTCTGCAGCGATGAGCTTCTTACTCGCGAATGCGATAGGGTACTCGTCGAGAGGTGCTCCGGATCGCGGGGGGGAATCTCTGATAGTGGGGGGGTCGCGAGGGAAATGTTGGGATAGAACGGCGCCAAGGGCAAAGTCCGAAGCGTTGGTGGTGACGTAGAAGTGGCGAGAAGGGTCGGCGATCTTGAGAACGGGGGCAGTAGTGATGAGGTGTTTGAGTTTGTCGAAGGCGGCTTGGCGGCTTGGCGGCGTTCGGTCCATGTGAAGGACTCAGTGGTGCGGGTGAGCTCATGGAGTTGATAGGCGGTGTCGGAGAAGTTTTGGGTGGAGGGGCAGTACTAGTTAGGGAGTCCAATGACTAACTGAAGTTGGAGCAAGGTGGTGGGAGGTGGGAACTCGACGAGGGCGGTGACCTTCGAGGGGTCCATGCGGATACCGTTTGTGGAGACAATGTAGCCAATGTAGTCCACGCTCGATGCGGCAAAAGTACATTTGCTAAGCTTAGCATAGAACTTTTTCTCACGAAGGATGGAAAGTACCTTCTCGATGTGTTGAAGGTGGGACTCGAAGGTGGGACTCGAAGGTAGGACTCGAAGGCGAGACTGAAGACAAGGATGTCGTCGAGGTAGATCACGATATAGACTTCGAGGAGATCGCGAAAGATGTGGTTCATGGTCGACTGGAAGGTCGTTGGGGCATTTGTGAGATCGAAAGGCATCACTAGGAACTCGTAATGCCCGAAGCGAGAGCGGAAGGCGGTCTTATGGGTATCTTCCTCGCGAATACGGATCTGGTGGTAGCCACTCCGGAGGTCAATCTTGGTGAAGTATTTGGCTCCAGGGATGCAATCAAGAAGTTCAAATATCCTAGGGAGTGGATACTTGTTCTTGATCGTGATCCAGTTCAAGGCGCAATAGTCTGTTCACATGCAGAGCTCCGAGGTGCCGCCCTTTTTGATGAAGAGGCAGCTGATTTTGAAGGGGGATGAGCTAGGCTTAATGAATCCTTTTTCAAGGAGTTCATTGAGCTGGCTCTTCATCTCTTCGGCCTCGGGGACGGAGAGTTGGTACGGAGGGCAGCAAGGAGGGGAATGGTCGGGCTCGAGATCGATGGTGTGAGATACACCGCTATCGGATGGCAAGCCGGCAAGCAAGGACTCGGGGAAGACGTCCTTGAATTATGAGGGGAGAGAGGTGATGCGAGGGTCGGATGGGGGGGCTTGGTCGGGTTTGTCCATTAGGATCAAGCCCTCAGGACGCTAGCGGTCGATGACGAGGCAATAGTAGGTGGAGTCAAGGTGTTGACGAGAAATGTGGAGGAATTGATTGGGGGAGAAGGGGGGTGGGGTGGTAGGGGGGAGAATGCAAGGGATCTCCACGGTAAAATTTGAAGTAGAAGAGAGGCGGACGAAGCAGGGATAGAAAGAGTCGGTCATGTAGCGATCAATCCAGATAGTTCCTAGGACGACGTTGCACATGAGGTGCATGACGTCGAAGGTGATCTGACTGCAGAGGGAGCCGACAATCATGGTGACCTCGGGAGCTGTGCGATTGATGATGACTGTCAAGTCCTCGTCTCCTAAGCGAATGGTGATTGAGGAGTCGTAGCTGGTTGAGGGGATACCGACTTTGTGGACACAAGTGTCGGTAATGAAGTTGTCATTAGCCTCGCCATCGAGGAGGGCCCGAAACTTCACTATTGATGTGCCAAGGGAGATGGATATGAAATTGAGCTGGAACTGGGCGGTTCCGGCACAAGCGGCGGAGATCATGTTGTTGAGGTGGCACTGTTCGGTGCCTAGTCTAACAAACCGGTCATGTTGTGCTTGTTCCTCAACAACATCGAAGAAGGTGATATGAGAGGGATTAGGGAGAAGGATAGAGGAACATGTGACAGTGATGAGCTCGACCGACGGGGTGAGAGACATCGTCGGGAGGGGGGCAGGCGAAGTAAACTGCGACGCCTGAGTGTCATCCGGTGAGGTATGTCTCACCGGAGGTGGGGGTGGCAAACGGATCATCGATGCCAATAGAGGGGCCGGTTGACTAGTTGTCAATGCCGGGGGGAGGTCACGAGAGGCAAGGGGACGGTGTTCATGTGTGGGAGGGTCCCGATATCGCGGATGGTAGGGTGGCGGATACGACTGGCCGAGGTCCCATGGAGCAGGGAGCCTGTCGAGTGAACTGGCTAGAGTTGGGGCAGCTGGTTTGCTGGTGGCCCAACTGACGACACCGGAAACAGCCATTGTTGGTTTGGAGGTAGGCACGTTCCTCCGGGGTGAGCTTCGTTAAGCAAGGGGGCGAGGTGGAAGAAGATGCGCAAGCTTGGCGGTTCCTGCGCTCCATCCTAGGGAGATGGATGGTGTTGACTTCTTCCTCGGTGAAAGATGGGGGGTCGGTAGAAGTCGCCTCGGTGTCGGGGTCGGGTGTGGAAAACTCATTCGACATCGTGGTGGTGAGGGCGTCGTCGGAAACAATGTTGTGGAAGAAATGTGTTCGGGAAGGGATGGAGGGGATGGCGGCCTTGTGAGTTGAAAGGAGACTATTGATGTGGAGAATGCAGGAGAGGAGACCGGATAAGGTTGTGGTGGCCTCATGGACGAGGACGATGGTGATTTCGCAGTTGGAGACCTGCTTGAGGCGGGAGATGAAAGTGTCGTCGGCGATCAGGTGGACGAGAATATGTTGTTGTAGTGAGCGGACATATTGGACATAGCGGTCAGTGGGGCCATTTTGGCGAAGGCGGCAAAATTGGTCGAGTTAGTCATCGACGATCTTTTGTGGGCGGAAGGTGGTTGTGATCAGCGTAGCCCACTCGAGGAAGGAGTGCGAGGGTTGGCCGCTGAGTTGGCGGTTGGCGACTTCGGTGAGCCACCAGCGGGCGGCGTTGGCAAGGAGTCGTGTACTGGCTATGGGTAGCCAATGGATGACGGGGACGGTGTGGAGATAGAAAGCTTATTGGAGTTGGCTGAGAAAGAGAGATACATCCTCATTGGGGTTACCGAAAAAGGTTTGGAATGTCGTGGGCCCAGAATGTGCGAGGGGTTTCACCATAACTAGGGACGTGGGCAGCGAGTGCGTTGAAGTCGAGGGTGGGTGAGGCGTCCGGTCATGTTGGGGGCTTGTTGGGAGGAGGACGTTCGGGGGATGTTGGGGGAGAGCAGGGTGTGACATGGCGGTGACCTGAGAGTAGGCGGGCATCCGAAGGGAGGTGACAATGGAAAAGGTAGAGATGGGTTGTGAGAGGGGAGGTGTGGGTACGGATTAGGTGCCGAGGGGATGGTGCAGCGATTGGGCAATGAGAGGAGTGGAAGAGGGAGGAGGTGGGTGGGACACACCGGTGGTGGCCGTTGGGATGGGGTTGGTAGAGGTTGGGGTGGGGGTGGTAGAGGATGGGATGGCGAATTGTGTCACTTGCTTGCGTGTTCGACCTCCATGTGGAGCCCACAGTTTCCCTTGAGACACTCACGTCCCCACCACTGATCCCTTTCTAGTCCCATGCTTTGCCAGTCCGAGATATCTCGGACTGCAAGGTAGGCTTCTGATCATCATTTCTTTTTTTCTTTGCCTATGAATTTCTTCTATCTTGGCCCCGTAATATTTTCCATCGTTTAGATCTTGATCTGGACAGTGTCACTTGCTTGCGTGTTCATCCTCCATGTGGAGACCACAGTTTCCCTTGGGACATTCAAGTCCCCACCACTGATCCCTTACTAGTTTCATTCTCTAGTCCCACCGGTAGTCCCGCCGATATATGTTCTAATTTTTTATTATTTTTATTTGGGCCCACCTAGTCCCCGACATCGTTCTTGATGATGTCTCATTTTTATTTGGGACTTCTTAGTCCTCGAGAATCCCAATCTCTCCTTTCCATGTGTCTCAAGTACGCCGATTATTCCCGGTCGCGAGATCCTCATCTCACAGTTGTCATTTGTCGTTTCTACTTGCTCCATGCTTAAGACACTTCTTTCTAGTGCCTTGAGTGTGTCAAGGCTCATTTTCTCCTGGCCTTGGCACCCCCATGCAGTCCGTTATTTCTCGGAGTGCAATAGTGGTCATTTCCCTAGTCTCATTGCCCTATAACTTGCCCCAAACAAAAACAAAATGAAGTGGCTCATTTCAAAGTGCATTCGGGCTCAATATTTGCCCTGCATGTACTTTGAACATGTATTTTCCTCACCTCTTGTAGTCCGTTGTATCTCGGTTGCAGGCGTTGATTGTATTTGATTTTCTCAGTAAAATCTAAAGAAAATCAGGATACTTTGTAATTGATTCACCCTTGGACGAATCCGGTCACAAATGTATCTCCCAAGTGGCCGTTTTTTACCGTTAGTGACCCTTTTTTTTCTCCTTTTTTTTTTTTTTTTTGTCTCCCTCGAAATTCGGATAGTACGAACTTGTCAGTCCCTACTGATGGCCAACTCACTCACTCTCTCTTCCCCCCTTTTGTCTCATTCTCCTTCTTTTTTCTCCCCTTTTTTTTTTCTTTTTTTTTCTTTTTCTGCTGACCAAGTGTCAACTAGTTGTTGAGGTTTTTTCTAGGCCCTACATCTTGGTCTAGGCCTAGATCATGCCCAAGCGGCAATCCGTTAATTCTCAGACTACAATTATGGCACCCCTATGAGACCAGATGCAGCAAAAATGACCTAATTGCAGCAGAGGTGCAACGGGCTTCCATCTGCCCTAGCCTACAGCCAGGGCCTATTCGGCTATTTGCCAGTTCGGCCTGTGGGACTAGGTCGTGGCCTGACCCCACAGGCCGTGTACTGTTCCAGTCCTGTCCAGTCCTGCCCCGGTACCACTGCCGGTACCAGGCCAGTCGAGTCCAGTCTTGTCAGTCCGTTGGGGTAGACCCAAGCTGTTGTCTGTTTTTCGGATCATTCTTCATTTTGCACTTTCAGGGTACGTGCGTGTTGAGTCCGCGTCGGAGCTGCGCTATCCCTTCCAGCTCCATCTCCATCTCCTCCCCCTCAACCCTTCGTCTTGATCTTGACAGACCGCCATCCCGGCGGGTTTGTCACTCTGGTATCAGAGCGGGAACGGTCCCCGCTCCAACCCGCCCACCCTCCCGTAACAGGGAGAAATCGGTGTAATCCCGATAGCGGGATATCCTGAAAGGAGGCAAACTACGGATGTGTATTGACTACTGCGGATTGAATCGAATTACAAGAAAGAATGCATATCCTTTGCCACGTATTGATGATTTGCTTGATGCTGCAGGTGGATGCAAAGTCTTCAGCAAGATCGATCTGAAGTCTGGCTACCACCAGATCAAAGTCGATCCTGCAGACCAGCATAAAACCGCATTCAAAACTCGCGATGGGTTGTACGAGCTTACAGTCATGCCCTTCGGTCTTACGAATGCGCGAGCCACCTTTCAAAGTCTCATGGATAAGGTATTTCGCAATCAGATCAACCGATTTGTTGTTGTATATCTGGATGACATACTAATCTTCAGCAAATCGATGGAGGAACACATGAGACACCTTGAGGAAGTGATGCAGATCCTCAAGGACGCGCAACTCCATCTCAACTTGGAGAAATTTGAGTTTGGGAGGGACAGCGTCATCTACCTTGGACATCGGTTGTCTGCTGCAGGCCTAGAGCCCGAGGCAACCAAAGTTGAGGTCTTCCGAAAATGACCTCAACCTGCGAATGTCCGCGAGTTGCGTTCTTTTCTTGGTCTTGCGTTGTACTACCGTAAGTTTGTGCCCAAGTTCTCTATCATCGTCCATCCGCTGTCTAGATTAACAAGCAAGAATGTGTCTTACACATGGAATGAGGAATGCACGACAACCTTCGACACATTGAAAGAGGCCTTGGTGAGTCATATGGTGCTCCGCATTGCGGACCCCAAGCTTACGTTCGTAGTAACTACGGATGCAAGTTTGTATGGGATTGGTGCAGTGCTGCAGCAAGATGATGGTGATGACCTACGTCCGCTTGAATACTACAGCAAACGCATGCCCAATCACAAGGTAGCTGCTTCCACTTACATGCGAGAGCTCTATGCCTTGAGAGAAGCACTAGATCATTGGAAACACTACCTCTTGGGTCGCCATTTCAAAGTGTTCTCAGATCACGAGACTTTGAAATGGATTCAGACACAAATTAATCCATCAACCACATTGACCCGCTGGCTGCATGAGATTGATGTGTATGATTTGAGATTAAGCACAAGAAAGGTTGTTGTAATCGAGTTGCGGATGCTTTGTCTCGCCACCGTGAGTACATGACTTGCCTTGTGGGTTCCTATGATCTCCGTAAAAATTTGAAGGAGGAACTCATTGAGCATACTGCCAAGGATCCGGAACTCAGCCCCATCCTTGAGCAGATTCGGGCTGACCCTAACAGTCAGCCTGATTTTCATGAATGTAAGGGCCTTCTTTTCCGACGTTGCGGGAAGCATGACCGATTGTGTGTGCCTAACCATGAGCCGATCATGACTCATTTCTTGGATTTGGCTCATGGTCGGAGTGGACACTTCGGTGTTGAGAAGACGTATGGGAATCTGTTGGAAAAGTTTGTGTGGCCTGGAATGAAAAGAATGGCACAAAGGTTTCTGGTTGAGTGTATAGTTTGTCAACGCATCAAACCGTCTCGACAGAAGCCCTATGGGATGCTGCACCCTCTTCCTATCCCTGATGGCCCGAGTGAGTCTGTTTCCATTGACTTCACGGACATGGGGAAGAAGAGCAGAAACGGTTATTCACAAGTAATGGTGATCGTCGATCGTTTTTCCAAATTTTTGAATTTCATCCCATTACCACCTCACGCCCCAACTGACCTAGTGATCGAAGAATTTAACAAAAGGTACATTCTGAAGTGCGGTCCCCCGAAGACTCTTGTGAGTGATCGGGATACCAGGTTCATAAGCGCAGATTGGAAAGACTTCACCTCCCAGACCTATGACATGAAGCTCAAGATGCACCCCGAAGCCAATGGACTGGCCGAGGAGATCAACCAGACCGTAATCCAACTTCTCAGGGCTCTTATCGTGCCTGACCAGAACTCTTGGGATGAGGAGTTGCCGATTGTGCAGGGGTTGTACAAGAACTCCATCCACTCCTCCATCGGGACGACACCTAACCGGCTGCATCTTGGATGGAAAATCCGCAATCCTCTATCTTATCTGTTCCCGGAACAGCCACCTGGTCTAACACCTGGCCAGCCAGGCTTCAACACTAAGTATGATCGTTTGCTCAAAGTTGTTGTCGCAGCTATGGAAAGGCGACGCAGTGCCATGATCAAGCATGCAAACAAAAAGCGCCAGTCAGATCCTTTCACAGTGGGAAGTTATGTTTGGGTCAAGATGTCTGAGTTTTTGAAGAAGAAGGCGTATCACGGAAACTTCTTCCTCAGTACTACGGTCCGTGGAAGGTGCTGAATCGAGTAGGTAATGATTCCTTCGGTCCTTCTTACACGATTGATGTGCCTGCTCATCTGCGCACATACCCAGTCTTTTACGCATCAAAGCTATTTCCGTATGAGCCACCTGAGACGTTCAAGTACCGAGAATCGATGATTCCCCGCGCAATCAATGGCGGTCACGAGGTTGATAGAATCGTCGAGCACAGTGGAAAAGGGAGAAACAGACAGTATAAAGTGCATTTCCTGTACCACCCACTGAATGACTTCTACTGGATTGCTAAGAAAGACCTATTGCAGAGTGCACCTCGCGTCGTTAACKCGTATGAACGATTGATCAGTTTTGAACAGCAACCAAAATTCACTGCTACCCTGACTCCTACGGAACACACCTGATCTCTCTTTGCTATCTACGCCTATGATGCATTATGCAAGGACTCTGATTGAGTTACTCGCTCGAAGGGACCTCGCTCTTGAGGGGGGGCTAGTGTAATGACCCGCCAAAACACAGACTGAGAACACTGCTGATTTCTGAAGTTCTGCCGATGGAGTGGATGCCTTGCTGAGATTCCCACATTCTGCTGTGTTTTCCAAGTCTGTCTGTGTGTGCGTGCTTGTGACCTGCGTGCCTGTCTGAGTGCTTGTCGGTATGAGTGTGTGTGTGACCCGCAAGGGTACTTGCTTGTTTGGCAGGCCCGTAGGGCCGGTACTTACCTGTGGCCRTGGCWTTGAGGGTTGTAGCAGGGAAAAACACTCAAGTGGCGAAGCTAGCGGCCCCGCGGCCCTTGGGGTAGCGGAAAAACACTCAAGTGGGCCGGTAGGCCGATACTGCACCCCACTGCAGTTGGCGTGAGGGGGTACTGGAGGCCAAGCAGAAAAAGACAAAGTTGGCATTTTTAGAGTCCAGTAGCGGTAGGGTAGGTCTAGGCCGGTACCAGTCCAACCAGTCTGAGTCTAGAGCCTGTACGGGTAATATCAGGGTCTGCAATGATGTTTCCCTCCGAAACGGAGGA